CCGGGCAGGCAGTAAATCACCTTGTGTTTTCTCCCTTCCTTTTCCACAGGCAATTACAGCTGCTGACTGACAGTTGCCAGAATCTGCTGCTGCCTGCTGCACAGAAACACTAATTGCTAAAACACACGCAGATTAATTGTAACCACAACAAGACTTTAAACGTTCCTCAAAAGCCAAGATTAGAGACAGACAGTGAAATAGAGGCTCTAAGCTCCCACTATTTACAGCTGATGTAACCTAATCAAATACACATTAAGGCAAAATAAATATCCACTTAGTCACACAAGCACTAAAATACTCGCAATACACCAAAACCCAAAAATACACGAAGTTCCTCTGCACGGCGCCTCCAAACCCACTTCTCTCTCTTCTCCAGGATACAGCTTCTTTTAACGAGATTTAGCCAAAGAATTATATGAATCAAAAGTATCCGTCACTGCCCAGTAATCTAAACTGTTTACTACAGTGCTTCAACAGGACGTAAACCAAGCTTTAGCAAACGAGCTGCTCCTTTGCACTTACTCCAGGCAGTGGCCACGTGGCAGCCCGAGAGCTCCATCCAGCTCCTCCACATCCCATTTTTCACACCGCCGACACGGTCCCGGCCACTGCACGGACTCCAGGCACCGCTCGCAGGAAATCCCGATCGGGGCAGCGAGCTAAACGCGGGATTAATGCTGCTCTAGAAAACCTGAGCTCATTAGTCTCTTTAGCAGAGGGTTATTTCGCAGTTACTCTATTACACCAGCCTACTCTCCAAAATGCAGAAGCTTTAGAAAAGCTTTAGTAGTTTGTCGGCTTGGATGAAATTTTTGTGGTATTGTTTTCAAATAAAACACAGGGAGTATTTTCACAGTTTCGGCAACAGAACTTCCACGCACCCCTGAAACTCCGAAAGCAACACTGACCTGGTCAAGTTCTTATTCATGCATGAAGGTCTAAAATAAAAGGAATATATGAAGCCCGATTACAAGCACCTTCTCACCAATCAGGATCTTATTTATCAGCAAGCACACCACTACTACCATAAAAAAAAAAAAAGGAACAAAAAATTACCAGAAATTCATATAAACTGAGCACCTGTCGCAAAGCCAGGTAAGAGAAAGCCAAGCTGAAATGGTTGAAACATTCCAGAAGCACCACAGACACTTATCTGGCAGCCCCTCAGGAAGGGCTCCGGCAGAAACAACGGGGATGCGACCTACTAAAAGTATCCGAATGAAATGCTAACGTGATAAATTGTTTTCCAAGATCTAGGAGAAAAATGACAGCAAAAAGCATTACATCTAGGCAAACAACTGGAAAAATACACGTGCCATTTCAGAAAGACCAAGGAAAAGCTTCTCCATTTTAAAGAATCCATGCGAGTACCTTCCCTAATTAATACACAAAATGTTTTTCTCGTATTTCTTCTCACCATCTCATCTAAACCTCCTTACAGCTTAAACTCAGTGCTTACCAAACACCTCCTCAGTGTCTGCTTCTCTCACACCACCTATTTCTTGTTTGTGTTGTGTTTTTACCTTCTCAGTAAACCCCCAGTGGTGTTTTCTGTTGTTATCCCTACTTCCAGTGCTATGATTCTCTTTAATAATTTGTTTTTTTCAATCATTTTTTCATCTTTCCACTTTTATTTCCGCTCTCTCATGTACATACTTGAGTATCTTCTAGAAATCTGTGGCTGGAGGACTAACCCCATCAGAAGAGAGAGCGGTGTGAATAAAAGCCATCAAGGATTACATCTGCTGCTGGGGAATTCAAAGCAGGAACAAGCTCTGCCCCAAGAACGAAAGGCAACGTTTTGCCAGGTCGCTATTCCTCAATATTGCTCTTCTCCTGACAGCCTCAAGGTAAGACATCACCCAAAAGTCTGTCATCTTCTCTTCCAAGTCCCTTTCTGTTTGGCAGGAACACAAAGCAGTAATGTTTCTCCCTTGGTCTTCCCAAGTTTCCAGGATGATGAGGTCGCATGACACGTGTCATCAAGCGACTGCCTCCCTAACCAAAGGGACCCAACCGCCGGCGAGGTGGGGGACAGCAGCCCTCGAAAGGAAGCTTCACCTCCATCTTCTCTGGAGAGGTTCAAAACCTGCCCAGATGCGTTCTTGTGTGATCTGATCTAGGTGGTCCTACTCAGGCAGGGGGATTGGACTAGATGATCCTTTGAGGTCCCTTCCAATCCCTAACATTCTGTGATGCAACAGTATTTAGCTCATCATTTGCAGCCAAAGCTTTAAGCCACTTTCTGGAAGTTTTCTCTATCGCCTTGGCAAATCTCAGAAGCTTTTAGGAGCCCTTCCAACCTCTGCTCAGCTCCCCTCCAATTTAGCACTTCTTCGTACAGCAGGAGCCGTTCCTCCAAGCACACCTTTTGGAACAGGAAGTTATCACTGCTCAGCACCCGGGGTAAACTCATCAGATCTTTACAAGTCCCTACAACCTCCAAAGACAACAACAATTCAAGTCATCTCCTGTCACAAAAAGTGTCCTTACATCTTCTGCATAGCTCACCCGATCATGCAGCTCCAGCACCTGTTTTGGCAGCACTTAATCTTTAGGAGCTTTGGCAGAACCAACGCCACCATCCTGCTGGTTCCACCAGCATCCTTTTAACCCAACATAAGTAACACCATCAGTGAAACCCAGCCAAAGTCTCTGGCTCCCTGCGTTTTTGCAGACACTTGCCAAAGCTAGGGTTGGCGGCGAGATCCCACAACTATCTGGAGCT